TTTTTTTTTTTTTTTTTTTTTTTTTTTTTTTTTAATGTTTTCAGGAAATTTATTTATTTATTTATTTATGTTTGGTCACTGACTAAAATATGTTTTTCCCAGTTTATTTGTTTATAAACACAATGCTCTCTTTGTCCCAGTGCACCCACATACACCCTCCTATCTGGAAGCGAATTTTGCTTCCGTTGCCAGTGGCGTAGGAGGAGCACAGTGCAGCTCCATTTACAGACATGTCAGAGAAACCAGCATTAAGACAATACTATGACTGTAACATCACAAAAAATAGAATATATTGCAACAGCAATATAATTTTCAGAGTGTCTACTTAACATTTTCCACAAAGTGAGTTCTGTGAATACTGGATGCTATGCACCTGAAATGAATAAAAAATATTCACAAAGTCTACAGTTAAGCAGCAACAGTTTGGGAAAGGAAAGAAGGTACTTTCTTACACAGCTGCGGTGGATTTTGATTTGTACTTGGGTCAAATACAGTGAAAGTGGAAATTGAACATCATCAAGTGATTTATTACATTGCACCATGCACAGTTACTGCAAGAAATTAAAGGTTCCCCCTAAAACACATTAAAAACTGCTCCAGCTTAAGAAAACTTCAGTTTTTTCAGACTCTCTGTTTCTTCCTTATGAACAAGTGCTGGCTCTTGTACTCCTCTGGCCAAGTTTGGTAAGCAAAAGGAGTTCTGCTGCCAGAATGCAGCTTCAAATGCTGGGCTTCCTAATGAAGCAGCAACATCAATTCGTGGAGAACACATCAGCATGCAAAGGGGAAAGTTTTATTCAGCATAGCATAGACCCTTCTTTCATGAAAAGGGGAGCAGGTTTCATGCATTCAGTTAATAAGCTTATTATTTCCCATGTGTTCCTTTGTGAGGGAGGTATTTTCTTTCTTCAGCAACCTGCATTAACTAAAACTGACTATAAAAGAAATGTTTTCAAACCCAAGCTACAGTCTACAATAAATAATGATCACTTTCCTCTTTTCAAAGTCAAATCTTGGCCTGAAATCTATTTTGTTCCTAGTGTTCCTGTTAAAAAAGATGTTGGTGGTCCAGTTCCAATGCCAATACACACTGTAGCATGGGTAAATCTGATTTCAGCTGCTCCTGCAAAGACTGAACCGCATCTGCAAACCCACCCATGTGTGAAGAAGAAAAAAAATAATCTGAAGGCTTATGATTTAATTCTTCCACAGAAGTCTTTGAGAGCTTATGTTATAATAAGGTCAGGAGAAAATATATACAATTTCCCATCATTTGTCATGTTCACTCTAAGTAAGTGGACTTTGATTTCCTAGAACTGAAAACTTTCAAAATCCATCATTATAATCATGAAAGGCAACACACAGACAAAGGATGTTCTCATAGTTACCCTCCTTAGGAGGGTCAAAAATATAACAGCATTTTTACCCATTTTTGAATGAACAAACTTTTATTTTTTTATTTCACAACTATGGGAAAAGTTCTTATGAAGAGAAATATATTTTAGTCCATCTTATAGATTAGATAACAGATGTGAAAGCAAATCCACAACCAGATTCTAATTTAGGAAATAAAAGCAGCTCTGCTCTATGACATTACAGTGTCAGAGCTGCAGAAACCACTGCAACAGTTTCATCATTGCCCACCTAGAAGAATAAATAGTGAATATCTTGACCCTCCACATCCACCCACCAGAAGACTCTCCTTTAAAGCACTATACATAAAGTCCTACAGAGAAGAACTTTTTAGCTGAGCTGTTCTCTTCTCCAATGATCATTTATCAAACCCTGTAAGTATGGAAATGTCTGCATTCCTGCTAGGAGCCAACTATAAAAATCCCAATCTTTCCATAACCCAAACCACAAGCAGGTAG